GAGATCGACGCCAACAGCTTCTGCACAGTACTCGAGTACTGCGACGGACACGACCTCGACTTCTACCTGAAACAGCATAAGTCCATACCGGAGAGGGAGGCCCGCAGTATCATCATGCAAGTGGTCCACGCACTCAAGTATCTCAACGAAATCAAGCCCCCCATCATCCACTACGACCTCAAGCCCGGTGCGTACCCATTAGTGTGCCTACCATTTCATTGTCTCGTATGAATGCGTGGCTAACAGACAAACCTATCGCTTGTACCCCGACATCGGTTTACAGCATAAGCAATACGAGCGTGAATTTTGTCTGTATTTAACGCATTCATATACTGATCCCTATCTCTAATTGTCCATCACTTGTGGTGTTTGTGATTGATTTTTGTATTTATTTGTGTTTTGTTTGGTTTGTGAACGACAGGCAACATCCTATTGGGTTCGGGCGCCGTTTCGGGCGAAATCAAGATCACCGACTTTGGTCTGAGCAAAATCATGGACGACGAGAACTACTCGCCCGACCACGGCATGGACCTGACCTCACAGGGCGCCGGCACCTACTGGTACTTACCGCCCGAGTGTTTCGTTGTCGGCAAAAATCCACCAAAAATTTCATCCAAAGTTGACGTGAGTTTGCATTTAATTTTGGTGTCGTTTTATTGTTTTAATTATTGGCAGATTTTATTCAATTTTACTATACGTTTGCGTTTTGATAGACACCTGTCCTTCAAAGCTGTGATTTTATTTTACAATTTAGTCCTTTTTTTGTTGTATTGAATTTCGTTTTAATTATAGATTTTTATTATAAAATGAGATTCAATTTCATTATGAAATTAATTTCCTGTCAATTCATTCATAAAATTTTATTTTTAATTATTTTTTAAAACATACTTTTAATTATATTAATAATTAAATACTAATGTTTCAAATGTTTTTAATTTAATTACCATTAGGTGTGGAGCGTAGGCGTGATTTTCTATCAGTGTCTTTACGGCAAAAAAGTAAGTTTTTTATTGACACTAATTGTTGACAGCATTTGTATTAAATGTATTAACGATATGTTTATCCCAATAACCCGTATAGCCGTTCGGACACAACCAATCGCAAGCGACTATTTTAGAAGAAAATACTATTTTAAAAGCAACTGATGTCGAGTTCGCGGCCAAACCTTCGGTNTCACAAAATGCTTAAGTTATCAATAGATATAAACGTATCCACAGAATGTCCCGGATAAGCTTAATTAATGAACATAGTACATCGTAAATTGTTTCCTGGTAATTCAAATATGATTTATTATCAGATTTATGACATGTTTCAAGCGAAATAAATGTGAGATAATTATTGTAATAATTTTCAATATTTTATTATTAATTTTTTTAATTGAAATGTCGATGAGTTTAACAATTTTCTCATTCATTCAATATAGTAGTCGAGAGACACAAAAAATAATTAATTAACAAATAATTGATCGGAAAAATTGATTTTCATTTTACAAATCGACTTTTTTCTCGATAATAATAATTATATAAAAACTTAATTCACAGAAGAAATAATGGCATAAATTAATGACAATTTGTTAAGAAAAACTAAATTTATATAAATTAAAAGTCAATTAAAATGATAATTATAAATTAAATTAAAAGTCAGTATTTATAATAGCATTTTCAGTTGGATTTATATTTAAAGTCATTTTGTAAATATCTGTTTCAATTAATATTTAATTTTGTGTTTCAATTGTAGTGTAGTTTTTGTCCCATAAAACGGATGATCACAGAAACGGATTAATAATTATTATAATTAAATAATAATTATATAATTAATAGTTGTTATTAGTTATCATTGATTTATATTAATCGATTATTATTATTATAATTAATTATTAATATTATTATTAAATTAAAATCTGTTGGAAATTAAAAGCAATTAATATTTGTATAGTTTGTGTTTTCATTGACATCTCTGTCCACTTGGGCTCCGGTAGTACTCGACAGCGGTTTGTATTTCCAGGTATTTTGTATTGTTTTCTTTGGTTAATAATATATAATAGTATTTAATGACTCCAATCATGTGTTTTGCCAGTCGTTGCAATTAATACATGGTATTAATTAAGTAGAAATCTCAGCCCGATTTTTATCAATATAATAGCGATTATTAGGGAACTTATTTCAGAACCAAATCCACTCGGAATACAATTTTCAGTATTTATTTATTTAAAACACAAATGTTTTACAAAATAAAAATATTAATTATCGACAAATTTTTTCAATAGGATTTTGAATCTCAATTCAATTACTTTTTTTTAATGAAAACTAAACTAAAATTTTTGTTAATTGAAAACTATTTTTAACAGACATTTCCTAAACGTGTTTTGCATATCATTTTTCCAGTCGATTAAGTGCTCAATAAAATAAAGACTATTGTTTTGTTGTGTTTAATATACTTTTAATATTATAATTATATTAAATTCTGTGCATTTTAATCATCATTTTATAATTATATTTATTTTATACTAATTTTAATTAAATTAACTAAAAATAAGACAACTTTTTCTCTCATTCATATCGTATCTTAAATCCCGTAATCAATTGAATTTGAATTAAAAAATTATTTTCCTATTTATTTCCGTATAGTTTTCGCTGTGGATTATGAACACAAAAATTGATCATTTATTAAACAATAATTGAAATGAAAATTTAATTTTACGCAAAAATCATATGAAAAAACTAAAAATAAACAAATAAATTACAAAAATTTGTCGACATTTGTGTCAAATATTTTTATCACTCGTTATTTTCTTCACAATAAAAATATAATAACAATAATAATCGCTTTTTAATAGAAAAAGACATTTTTTATTTTCATTTTATATATAGATTTCCAACAATTTTCATGTCATCCTATATTTGTTGTCGTTTTTTGTTTGGAAATGCATTTCAATATTAATAATAATAATGTTTTTTTTAATTATAATAATAATTAATTAATTAATAATAACTTAATTGAAAACTAAATGTTTTTTGTCTCTTTGTTTTTTGTGAAAAGTTTTCAACAACTTTTCGGTCGATATATAGATATATATATATAATAACAGCACATTTGATGGGAAGGTAAGCACACAATCAATCAATCATTCAATTGAAGTCTCTATTTAATCATAACATGTGTCGCGAAATAGTCTATCTATTTGTATATTACATAATAATCATTATGTTTAACGTGTGTTGGATTTCCCGGTAGTGAACCGTCCCATAAGATTCAGAGAGTCGTCGAGAGTAGACTGTAGTTGTAGTAATGGTGGTCGGGTAGTGGTCTCAGTCGTCGTCGGCGCACACAATACACACATTGACACTGACTTTCGCCACAAATTAACGAGTAATTTATAAATTCATTATTAAATTATAATTTCATTTGAAAATTTAGAAATCAATTTGAATTAAAAAATATTTGAACTAAAAATATATACTATTTTTGAAATTTTTAAAAACTAAACAAATAAAAAAACTCTTCGTTATCTTCTCAATCGTCGCCACATTTTTTCTCACTCAAAGACACACCAAAAAAGCACTGATTGGATCCGACGATACAAATGATGGGCAAATAATAGTATAATAATGTATTCATATGAAGGATAACACGAAAGACACTGTGTTTTTGTTGTCGACATAATATTTGTGGTAATAATAGAGACTCCAAGAAAAATCATTGCAATTATTAATATATCTCTCTTCCCATTGTCTTCATCGACACCTTCTTCATCCTCTTCCTCTGCTTCCCTCTCGCACTTCATTTCCCAATTCATCGCTTAGTTTTAGTTTTTTTTAAATTTGTAATATAAATAGTTTGAAGTTCTTATCACTTGTGTTCTCCTAATTATATAATAATTTACAATAAAAAGCAAACAACGAGTTGCGGCGAAACACTACTGTCCGGTGAGTTGGGTCAGCGGTGGTGGTGTTGGTTGGGGGCACTCATGAGAGGGGGTGATACACACCCTCTCATAAGCCTTTGTCGGACGCACTCGACGCGCCCCTGCCTTTGGTGCTCGGCCTCAGGTACTCGTCGTTAGACATGGCTATGACATCGA